CCCACACCCACACCCACACCCACACCCACACCCACACCCACACCCACACCCACACCCACACCCACACCCACACCCAATATTTATTTACAATTAATTAATAACATATTAGATGAATTACAAAAACGATTTTCATCGATCAATTTAAAGATTTTAACAGGTATATCATCATTATGTTCAAACAGTTCTACTTTTTTAAATTTTGATTCATTAAAATCATTTTCTAAGCATTTAGATCTCAATGTTCCTGCTTTATTAAATGAACTAAATGTTGTTAAACCTATGTTGCAATTACAAAATAAACCATTAGCCAATATAATTGATTTATATCAAGTGTTATATCCATTTACATAAGCCTTTCCAACACTTGTTACACTAATAAAAAGTGCAATAACTATGCCAGTGTCATCGACGACATGTGAAAGAACATTCTCAAAAATGAAAATGATCAAAACAACAATTAGAAACACAATGACTGATAATCGCTTGGGTGATCTTTGTTTAATTGCTGTTGAACGTGATATTGAGCTCAATTTTGAGCAACTTATTGATAAATTTGCAGATATTCATAAAAATAGTCGGATTATGTTGAAATAAAAAGTTATCTTTTGTTTTTTATCTTCAGAATATTTTGTTTGCATATACGAATGAGCTGGTCACTCATCAGGATCAAACACCTTATTAATAGCCTTTTAAGTGTACTTTAATACTGTGCTTAAAAGTTTAATAATATCAGTCTCAATATATAAGATAGTGAACACATATAGGAGGTAATATATAGTGTGGGGGCTGAGCCCTACCACCCTTAAATTTTTGGTTACGCCGCTAGAATTTACCTATGAAAATGACATAATAATCTAGAAACTAGAATCGTTCCATGAAGAAAGTGCAGAATATTAGTCATCAATTACTATGTATATAATGGAAAGTGCTAGATGAATCGTAAAGCATTACATTTTTCTTTGCCGATTCAATCGATAAAGGTAAATTGTGTCATGTTCTTTTTCCTCAAGGTCGGAATGTATGTAATTGCACAACAAAATCACATGCGTCCAGTTTTTTTTATTTGCGTGCATCGCCCATGTAACCATGAAACGCATTTTAGACGTAGCTCGAGGCGTCTATGTTGCAAATCTTCGGCGTTCCAACGCGTTTTTATATGGAAGCATGACGGAAACGCATCTAAATACATCAATCACTGTGTTTCACAAACGCGTTTGGAGAAAATTCATAGTTTTGGAGCATAATTTTAGACTAAACGCATACAAACGTATTTAACCTCGTATTATGAAACGCGTTGGGACGCACTCATATCATTCTATGCCTCTGATCACGTTTAATAGTGGAAAGAAGCTATGTCTCTTCCACTAACGCTATTTAATTGACAGAGTCGATAAATGCGTTTCACTGGATGCTTCTGTCAATCTGTCAAATTTGCAGAAACGCGTTTGGATGCACTGCTTTCTGAAACGCAGTTGAACATATAGTTATATAGTTTAGTTAGTGAGGATAAATGCTTTAAAAAGAAAGTTGCGTCTGTGCGAAAATGCGTCCACGAGTCCGGCGTGCTACATCTTCGTTGCAAGGGTATTGTGATTGGAGGAAATTCTATTGTGTAATTATATTACGTTTAGAAGGTAGTAGCTGAAACAAAAAAATTGACTTTTCTAATTCATTTGGATAAACATATCAGCTTTCTATTAACTCATTTGAACAAGAATAAGAAGCCGAAGTATATTTCTATAAATGGTTCTTTATGATACATATTTCAAGCAGGATAATTTTTCACAAATATCTCTTTAAGTTTTCAATCGACAATGATTATCTTGTTTTCGTTATTGCTGTGTGCAGCGATTCAGAGTCATACAAACTGATCTAAGTTTACAATAAGGACCTGGTTAGTAGATGCTATACGAAAACCTATCTATTTTTATTGAAATCAGAATAACTCAATGATATTCTTTTTGTCGCCCATGTATTCATGCTTAAACTCCTAAAACGTCCCTGAATGTCTACAAGCTATGCAACTTGATGCGCTTGAACTCGTCCAACATGCAACATTTTAAGGCGTGTGAACGCGTTCGAAAATCAAAACGCGTGTAAACTCGTCCCTGTTGAAAACCCATTAATATACGTTTTCTGGCTTTTTTACTTATAATACTGTTATGAGATAAACGCGTTTACTTTATTCTCAAAAAAGTCAGAAAATAATCATCACTTTGTATCGAAACTAAACCGGAGTTTAGCATTCAGACTGCATCACTATCATTAAAATATAATTAAATTGGGTTTGATTTAACAGATTAATCATATAAATCAGTACACCTATGATAATAGATTGTTATCTGCAAATTTTTTATTGAAAATATTTAATTTTTATCGAAATTACGTATATGTCTCGCTCTACATTACTTCTAAAATACTTAAGAATGAGCAGACGGTAGATTATAATCTTAAAGTTGTTGCCCACTTCATCATTTATGTCCTAGACAAATAAATACATCCTTTGAATATGATACTTTTATATCCAACTATTTCATTTTATCGGAATTTCACAAGTACTTTTTCAAATAGAGTTGTTGGCTTATCTTTATTGTGTTCTATAATAAAATGACTCGAAATGAATCTTTTAGATTCATACAATAAAGATAAATACATTACGGAATTTTGTTACTTACAAAGATAAAGATAAACAATTTTTTAAAATTTAATCTTTTAAGAAAAAGATAAATGAATATTTTATTCATAAGGATAAAGAAAATTAAATGAAAATGACGGTTTATTTATAAATAAAAACCTAATATTTTATTTTCCCCCAGATACCTAAAAAAATTTTGATACCATAATCACACAATATTACGTAGACAAGAATATTTGCATATATTTTTTCTTCTAGTGTCTTCACTTTTTATTAACACTGGATATTGTGGTGCTATATAGTAGTAAGAAAAAAATGTAAATTAATGCCTTTATACCGCATATTTATATATTTATTCATCACAGAGCGAGATTTTTTTCTTCTGTATTTTTTATTTTTTTTAATATAAAAAATTTATTTCTTTATTTAAATTTATTTCTAAATATCAAGAATATATTTATCTTGATTTTTTTCGATAAATATAGTATTTATATTTATTTCACGAAGTCAAAATGTAACAGCTCTAATCGCAAAGTTGCAACTAGTGTTATACGAGCATATGATGCGAATAATGAACATAGAAACAAGTTCGAGCTGTGTTTAGCTCAGAGCTAGTTGTGTTCGGTTCGTAATCGACTGGTCGTGGTTCAAATCTTCGTTCAAGCTGTGATTGGAAAAATTACCACTCTGTTGCTCACAGGATTTGAGTGTTATATCACAGTTCGCTATGGTGCGTCTGTTCGATTCCGATACAGAGTGATGTTTATTTTTTAATTCTTTTGGGGGGCAAAAAATAAACGCGTCACGACGCGTTCATCTCCTACTGCATCGAAACGCAGCAAAATTCGAAAAGGCGTCGTAATCCGTCTGCAAGATAGATGAGTTTGCACGCGTTTTGGTTTTTAAATGCGTTCACACAGCTGAAATTGTTGCATTCTCGATGCGTTCCAACGCGTCGAGTTGCATAAGTCATAGATGCTCAGGGACGCGTTCAAGATCGAAAAACGGTTACCTGGGATCCTACAACAACATCATCTCGGCGTATTCCGGAAAGGGTGACTACTCGAAAGCCCTGCAATATCTTGAGAAAGCACTAGCTATTTGGCAGAAGTCTCTTTCCTCAACACATCCATGTATTAAAAACATGATAACTAAGATTGACATCGTAAAAAAGAAACTGTGAAACTTCTTTTGTCGCTCAATTTTGCTCAACAAATTCGTTTGAATTTTATTTACTATCTCACTCGCGCGCGCGACCAGGAAGAGCCCCCAGTGGCCTAAAACGGGTACACATGGACCGGACCACGCCGGACTGGTAGGGCAATGAACGTAGGTATGACGTACAAATAACGATGACAGGAACCATACATTCATCAGAGGCCTTCCCGATTAGTACACTACTATCGCCATTTAATAAACACTTCTGTTGTCTATGGTGAAATATTCTCATCGTATCCACTCAAACTCTTGTCAGAAGATCAACTGGTTATGAAAATAGCTTTTCATAATTTTCTGGACAATAAATTTTCATTTTTCATTTACCCAAATACACCAGAAAGCATATGATTGAATAAATTTCATTTCACACTCGTTCATTCCGAATGAATAATGTTCCTATAGGTTGAATACTGCACTCAAATGACCACTGAGTCACATGCATCAAAATCAGCCTCCACGACACAAAAGTGCAAGTTCGACGTGTGGAAAAAAATCCAATGCCACTTCCAAAAACATTTTTTGAAACCATGGATGAGTGATTATCTGTGGTGAAAAGTGTTAATCACAACTGAACGTCTATCTGCAAACGATCAGTAGGCTAGGAAACTTACTCGATCATGAAATGATCAGAGAAACAAAGAAGCGACACAATTGATTTCGGACGCGACATAGTGCTCTTGAAGTTTTGAAGTACTATACAAAGTAAGAGACCATGTCGATAGATGAGCATGATCGGAGGATGAATTTACTGATATCATCACCGGGACTCTTAGTTCTCTTCTAAGCTTTGGTGCTGTTGATCTCTATGTATTTCGATATCTGCCGGGATTTCCAGACACGGGTGCATACTTCTGTACTCAAATGTAATTGGTCTCTATTGAATGAAGCTGCTTCGGTAGAGATGACGAATGCGACTTTGAACTCTCTGGGTATTACTCTTGATTCTACTTTAGACCTAACACATAGTTCGTACAAGAATAATTTGAGCTGAACTGAAGTTTACTTCGTTGCAACAAAAATTCTACAAGCAGTAGCAGGAAAGAAGTCTAAATATCAACATTTCAACCTATGATCTTTTCCAGTATACGATAAATCAACAAACCAATAATCAGCAAAAAGGTGTATTTTGCGTTTGAAGACAAGTAGCAACAAGAAATGTAAATCCAAGAGAATTTCAGACTCATATTTCCTGTTTTTGATCATCTTGTTCCAAATTTTATTCAAAAGACACTAGTTACACCTGAATACAGTACGTTAAATCCATGTCTGAGAGTCTCGGCAGACATCGATATAAGTCGAGGTCAACATCACCGAAGCTGAGTATAGATCTGAGAGTACTGGTACTAACATCAGTAAAAGTCTACCTTCGGCCATTCTGTTCAACTGGCATGGTCACTTACAGTATATTGTAATTCAAAATCCAAGGAACACTGCGCTGGGTCAGTAGCTTGCTGCGACGGTTGAGCGTCTACCAGTACCAATGAAAACGTCTGATGTAAGTTGACGTTCCAAAACCTGAGCAGGTCGTTTTCTGCTCGAAATTAACTGTGAAAAATGGTTTTCTCGATAGAAAAATGACGTTTTTCACTCAAGACAGCTGTTTTTAGATTGTTTTACTTAAAAATTCAAGACGTTGTGCGTATAAACGTGCACAAAAAACGTGAAAATGCGAAAATTGAACAAAAAATCGACTTTTTAATGGAAATATGGATCCAGTCAAGAAAAACGCCAAAAAATCAAGTAAAATTCGCGTTTCTGAGTCAATATTCCTTATTTTCGAGCATCTCTGTCTGCCTGGGTTCCTTCATCAAAACATCGCGATATGATAAGTTACTTTTTACTACTTGGAATAGCCTCCACAGATTTCCAAAACATTTTTTTCTCAAATTTAAGCTTTTAAAATAGAAACTGATTGAGTTTTTGGCCTGATCACAAATATCATATTATTATACAGATTTGATGGAAAAATACGAACTTTATCGTGTATTTTCGTATCCTGACAGGCACTAATGTTGTATCTCAAAAGTATCATTATTGCCTAACGCCTCTTAAAGCATTTGTTATCGGCGAGTTGCTTGCCACACAGTCATTTCGAGTGATTGTGGTGGAGTATGTATTCATTGATAACAGAAAAACACAGAACAACTACCGACAAAGTTTGAAATTACAACAACAACAACAACAGTAAGCAATGATATTGTGCGCAGTCTTATTTTCCATATTATGCCTGCAAAATAATGCCTTTGGTATGGTCCCATTATCGTCGTATGTGACAATTCAAAAACCCTATCTACAACCATTCATCTCAGGCGATGATCAACATCTTCCTCTGTACACAGGTTGTAAACCAGTGGACTTGGAGCTGAACAACTCCGACATCAATTGCGATTTGACGGCACCTATTCGCATTTACATTCCAAAATCGCTCAAATCTGCCGGTGAGACCCAACTTCAGTCGATTTTAGATTACTATAAAGAGAGCAATATTACCATGATTGAATTGTGGCCAACTCTCGGTGCATTTGGATTCTATACATGGGTATACGCGAGAATATTCCATAATGATACCCATTGGATCTGGCTGAATTCATCGTCGATCACATTTCCATTATCGGTTGATTCCCCATTAGATGAATCTGAATTTCCCACACCCTATCTGCCCCAATTATTGGCATCATCGAATCCAGAAAATCATTTTGACATTTTTGCTGATATGTTGCTTTTGTCACCGTTATATGCTAAACCTTTATTTGGCGATTGTTTGTGGACCTCTTCGGATTATACACAGTCATTGAATCAAAAACAAACAACGACGATCTATCCTGGATGGTTGCCAACAGAACAAATGAGCATCATTGAACAACAGCAAGGTCACAATATCTGTGTTGTCTTGCCACAACCAGCTCATATCAACGGAAAACCGTATACGTTATTAGTTAACATAACACAAAATAATAACGTGCAATGGCCGTCGAATATTTCTTGGTACACTATCCCATTTCCCTCTTCGGATGAAGTACTCAAAGCAAAACCAACTTCTGATAATTGGTACAAAAATCTACAGTGGCCAAAAACATTTGCAAACGACTGGAAATCGGGTATATATCAATTTAGTGGTGTGCAACCACTTGAATACGAGAACAAGACGAAACTTAATTTGACTCGTAAATCGTCCGTGCAACCCGACAATCAATTATTGAATTTGATCGATTATCTTATTGAACGATACAATAAATTGAATATTCGAACGGAAAAACAATTTTTTCAATGGCGAAATATAACGCAAGCAAATCTTTTTGCCTACATACCCGCTGGAGGATCTCGTAAATGCAACGAACCTGTAGTATTTATCGATCATATTGACACCGCATTCGAGCGTGACACCTTTGCCAATACTGGACAACGGAGAACAACACCAGGTGCAGATGATAATGTGAGCGGTTTGGTCGCCTTACTTCAATCGGCATCGATACTAAAACAGACGCAAGAAACAGCGTGCCGTGACATCTGGTTAGTTCATATGACGGGCGAAGAGTACCCCGCAGCTAGTTTAGGTGTCAGCCATTTTCTTCAACAGTTATTAGTGAAAAAACAACCAATTTATACCGCTGTTATTGTCGATATGATTGGTCATCGCGTCAATCGAAATGATCCTATTGTTCAAGTCAATGCGGCAGATTCAACCAAATCATTACTATTGGCAGAATTAGCTCTCAATTATGTTTATCCAAAAGTCAAGGACAAGTTCATCGTGAAGAATTTACAGCCAGTGCTGCGTCGATGGAGTGACCCGTATGCGTATTTGTACAACACTGACGGCGTCAGATTTGTTGAATACGGTTTCACATGTCTGTTGTTCAACGAACGTATCAGTAATCACGAAAATTACCGTCGTGATGGGTATCATGATACTCTTGACACGGTGAATCTGATTGATTTCGAATACGGGCAAACTGTCTCACAGTACGCAATCGCCACAGTGGCAATGTTAACCCATTCGGACTGTCCTTCAGATTCATATCGTAACAAAGCGAGCCTGATACTCGTTATCGGTCTGGTTCAATTGCTATTGAAACCATTTGCACCGCGTACAGACTAACCACTGAATCCCTTTACTCAAAATATATGAAAACTAGCAAACAAATGTCAACAGTTATTTCGAGGTAATTGTTTTCAGTTTGGTAATTGAATGCTTCTCCTCCTTCGCTGTCGACTTGAACATCCATCTAAAGTATTTGTTGGCCAAAGATGTTTTACTGAATTTCTTCTTATAGCCACTTGAAGGCAAAACATAGAGAATAAATCAGAGCACTTGTGAAGCATAGGAAAGCAAATAAGCAGTAAGAAGAGAATGCTTTTGCCAGTCATTCAATCGTGTGCAAGCGAGGCTGAACGAGAGAATGGTTTGAGGAAAAGCAGATAAGATGATAATAGCAGGTGTCACATAAAATTCTTTATGCACAATGAATTGTTTCTTCAGTATTTGTTTGAATTTCACATATTCATCAGCTGTCTTACTCCGACTTCGAGCAACCTGAACGATGAACAAGGTGATGGCAATGGCTTGAATAAAGAAAGGAGCAAGATAATGCGGAAGTGTGTTCACATTTTCGTAGCTGCCTATAATATCTTGATCAAAGTTGGTCATACACAGTAACATAGAAGAATCCAGCTGAGTAGTAGTAGTATAAAACAGAACCTCATGTATGTGCATGCCAAAAAGAACTACTATAGTAGAAATACTCGCGTAAATGGCTACATGAGGATTTTTAGTAGCGCTATTTGTAGGAAATAAAATTAGTAGAAGACGGTCGACGGTGATCCAACGTGTCAATCAGTAGGTCGAGCGAGTAGCGGTAGATAGTAGATACTCACCGTTTTACATGATATGTCAGTCGTCGAACCAAATGTGCCCAAAAGAGCATGAACGAACTTGAGAAAAAGAGCGAGAAGGGCATATTGATTTAGAATAGTGACGACATAGAGATAGTTGCCAGCTCCAAATCGGCGTGATTCAGGTCGCTTCAAAGTGAGAAATGAGCAGAGATTGTTGAAGAGACCTTTGGCAAATAGAAGAAAGGCCAGAACAACATAAATTGATTGAATGGTTGTCGACTTGGAAACGAGAAGAGAGTCGAGAGTGAATCCAAAAGCTTGTATACTGAATTCGCATAGATACCCTTGATGACAGTGAGGACAAATACAAGTGAAGCTGTTGGGATTCTTGAGGTCTCCTTTGACACATTTTCTGCCGGACCAACACAATTCACAATGATCGAGAAAAGGATCATGTACAAAACAGTCAATCCGATGGTGGTCATCTTGATAAATGCAGAAGTAAATGCTATCATGAAAACATAAGCGTTGGCTATCATTACGACAAATATGATGATACTTGAATAGAGCAGGTGTTCTAGATCTATCATCTGGAACCATGAAGAAAATGAAAGCCTTATTCAAAACACAAAAACATATCTACCTTTAAGTAGAAGTGATAAAGCATTCGGACAGAACTCAGGCGTTGAAATGATGCTGATATTCGTGGTATTTGATTATATGTAGAGAATAAAATACTGGGGATCAGAAAAATCTTCGTGCACTTTCAATACACCTAAAACAGGAGCCAATGGTCGACCGTGATTGTAGATAATTGTCAGCGGGAACCCAATAATCATTTGCTGATATTGAATTAAGAGTTTCATCATTTTACCCTGCTCAATATTGTCGAACTGAACTACACTCACAATGGGTGTTAAAGTCATATTCGCATTAATTGAAATAGTGACTTTCTCATGTTCACACCGATCACCATAGAGCTGTGGTGAACATTCACAAATGATTGGCTTATCGCCACTTGGATCGTACGTCAAATGACAGGTTGAATTCAGACCACATGGGTTTGATTTACATCCATCATTTTGAAGATGATAGCGAGGCCCAAAACGGCCGAGAGGACAGATACACAAATGATTATCCGGATTTTTGACTATAAACCGAGCTCTGCTCGGCCACACTCTAACTTTGAAAACTGCATTAGCTATGGCAAAATATCGGGTGTTGGCATGGGTGTGGGTGTAGGGTGTAGGTGAGTGTGGGTGTGGGGTGTTGGGTGTGGGTGCGGGTGTGGGGTGTGGGGTGGGTGTGGGTGTGGGTTAGAGAGCAGTGGGTCCGTCCAGACCCGGACGAGAACCCGGGTCTGGGTCTAGAAAAATAATGTCACCCGGGTCCGGGTCTAGAAATTTGATATCAACCGGGTCCGGGTCCATATGCCATTTACTTTCGGACCCGGTTAGCATTCAGCTATGAATCTAAATATTGAACAGTTCAGGTCAACATGCAACATGTTTTCG